TGAATGGAATCTCAGAATTTTACAGTTTTATCACGCCTGTTTTCATCTCTAATAGCATGGCTCAAAGCATGTTTGAGCCTGTGCTTTGACAAAATCTGCTCAATTATCTCAGGAAAGTAAAGATTGTGATAGGCGTTGTTTTAAAATTCTTGCTTTATCCGATTGAATTTACATAGAGAATATAATAAAACACACCTGAATGATCGCGTAACACATTGAGAACAGCGCCAGTCCAACAAAGTAAAATGCAAAGAAAACTGAAAAGTCCTCATCTCTTTGTATTTTAAGTCTTCTAAAATTTTAAATGGTTGTAATACAGAACACGAACCGCAGGCATATCTCGGTTGTCCTGGTATGACATCGCCAAAACCGACAGTACTCATTGAGATGAATGAGAAGTACACAGCAGTAAAAAAGTCCCATTGCTCCCAAATGGAAAATAGGACAGAGCATAGAAACATATAGATGAATACTAGAAGAATAGCTAAGGACATAGGGAATGTCTCAAACAGTCCATTATCATCCTTTTCAGCAGAGTCCTACAATTTAAATTGCTTAACGCCACTGACGAAAGGTGAATAGGTTACTGACACCTTAAGAAATAAATGACACCTTTCCATGGTCCTCTGTTGTGACGGTTTCGATGGTCCCAGCTCTATCGAGTCCACGTGATCTCTTGAATCGACGTATTCTTCTTCGAAAAAATCTCAAAATCCAAGCTTTGGTTCTCGTAAATTTGAAAAAGAAGTGTGTTTGCTGAAAATTACCTCCTAATCGTTATATAGGAGCTTTGAGCTTGCCCAAACAGGCCCTTTCCAATCACGTTCAGTACAGCTAGCATCATCGGAATACCAAACAGAGCATATAAGATTGTAATAAACCGACCCACCGGAGTTCTGCATGTAATATTGCCATATCCTGTAGATGATTTCAATTGGATCTTTAAGGAAGGAACTATTTTCGATATTATTTGAATAAGCAGTTGTCGTTGCACATCAAAAAATAAGTTATTCTTCATATGTTTGGTATAGTTTTTCAGTGCCACAACGGTAATATTTTGAATTTTGAAGTGTGTGTAGGTGAAAGAATACTCGGGCACCGGCTGCCACTGAAGCTACACTACTTTAGTCCTTAACCCAGCAGTGGAATAAAGCGTAAATTTGCAGATTTTGAGGATGGGTGTTTCATTCCACTTGTCTACCTCCTTTAAAGGATAACACTACTGTTGACCAGTACATGGTGGTTCATAGATGAGGTTGTGCCTAAGCCGCCCATATAAAGTCGCTCATAAGAGAACACATTAAGCAGCTTAAAAAAGATGAGTATTGGAGCTTACACTTCTTTGAAAGGATGCCCTTACTTTCTGGATAAAAACAATGCGAAGGCAAATTTGAATTTTGTACAACTGGCTTATTATGGAAGTTTGATTAGGCAAAGGATGATGATTGAAAAGCTTGCTTAGTTGTTTGCTTAGATAAATAAATTGGATGCTGTGTCGCAGATTGATTGGGTATAATTGATAATCT